TCAGATTAGATTGAAAAATGGAATTGAAATAGTCATAGGGAAGCAAGCAGAAAATAAGAATTTTTTTTTTTTATAAATTGATGAAAAGTTTTATGAACACACCCAAATCTGTTAGTTTTCCAAACACTGAGCTATCGTTAAAAGTTGGACAATTCCATCTATGATTGCGAAACTGGTATTGACATTCCGATATTCCCTTTCTGGCCCCTTCACTGACAAAGATCATAAAACTGTCTTTTCGTTTGCACCACTTCTTTTGAAAATTAGTAAATCCGTTCATGCCATCACATATTGAATCGTTATTTTGAAGCGAGTTGTAGGGTCCATCTCGTGCAACAGACCTTATAAGAAAATGTACAAATGTTACAAACGCCTGTTACGCACTAATCACTAATTGCAGAGATACAATGGGACTAATTGCGTATTTTGAAGTCGCAACCTCCGTCTGAAGTGTAATGAAGATCATTCAATCTTAAACAATTGTTACACTGTATTATCCATTAGGAAACATAATATTACTTACCACCATTGGCAATGTCCGCTTTCGCTCAAAATTAAAACAAAAAGAATAGCAGACAGTATAAGCCAACAACCCTCTCGAATAAATCCCATTTAGTTCAGCAATTACCTTGCGAATAATAGGCCTGTTGAGAGCACAATAGAGATATTTACTTTAACTGTAGTGATATTAATAAAAATTCATTTCCAAGACCAGATGGCGGAGCAAACTTAAATGGGCCACTCGAAGGTCATTAAGCGAAGAGATTAGAGTAAATTAGGAGCAATACAAATGTCAAATATACGCTAAGATGCGTGATATTACAAATAAAAAATCCTTTAAACTTCTCATACGTTCTTATCCAACTAGCTATACGTTAAGAATTTGATTCCATGCCTCAATTGTTATTTAGCAATCCTTCTAACCCAAAGAATGCAATCTTGCAAAGTGATTAAAAATTACAAAGGTGAAAAAACGCTGTTCAGTTTGAATTAAGCTATTTAAAGCATCGCTCAATATTAGTGAAAAACACCTAATTCGAAAATTTGTGACGTATTCTCTTCAATTACATCCTCAATTAGAAAAGAATATCTCGTGAATATGAGCTGTTCAATAGAAAAACAGTTTTGCCTAAACATCATTTCAATCTTATAGGATTACTATCTTGGGATAATTTCTAGTGCCTTTTCAAATAGAATTCAAGATCTAAAGTCGACTTTGCACATAATTCGCATTTTGCGAATTTTATTGATATTGCAATACGAGATGATAAATTTTCTCTCGAAAATTAATTTCAATCCGAAGATGTATTACGTCAGCAATATGCTTAGTTTCAAATGTTTGCTGTGTACAACAAGGTCCTGATCAGGAATGATAATCCGCTGAAACGCGAATCACAAAGTGATCTAGACCGACCAAATTTCGCATTTATAAACAAAAAACATGCAAATGTTTCAGAGATATAAAAACTGATAAAGAATTGACCTACTATAGTAGTTCTAATCAACCGCTATGCAGCTATTGGCAACAATGCTGTTATAACGTTTATGGCATATCAGTACAATTCATTCCGCATTTCATGCAGCTTTTGTAGGTTGGTACCTTTCCGAGACCATTTCTCCTGTTCATCACTTCGCAGCTCATCTAATTTCGCATACATTGTCGTTTACCCAATTTAAAATCTAATGGAAATTAAATTTTAGAAAACAACAAATAAAAAGACCCGGATGGTAGTGATTTCATCACGGTTAGAAGCAGGACAGAAAATATTTCCTCGCCAGTGAAATTGCCTTCCAAACTATACAAACGTTACGGGGGAGGTGTTTCTGCCCACAATTCTTACGCGAGTTACGTCCACTCTAATATGCTTTGTTTGTTCAGAGGTAGCAAATACTAATGCTAAGGTGAAGGTCGGGGACGAGCACAGCCAATGTGAAACAAATACCACCACAAAAATACTATTCTTATTCTCAGTAGTTTTTTTTTATAGAGTCAAAAAATACAGCACGAGAGAATTAAGCAGAAAAAAATGCTGTAATCCGTACACACACAGCTGGACACTCTTTGATTTTCCTTTAAAAGTCGAAAACAATTTATTCTAAAAGATGAATTAGGCTTATTCAGCTTTGTCAACAGTAAAATATAACAATAAAAATGCACATAGCCATCAAAAGCAATTAGTCTCAAAATCCCTGAAAATAAATAGCGACAACGAGCATCCAGAAAATAGTATACAGGTCTATTTGATTCACAAAAATATGAATCCCCGATAAAACGAGTATAACAGCATAGAGTATAACAAAAACGATAGTAAATGGGAAGATGTCAAAAAGAAATAACTGATCGTATTGTACGGCTGTAAACTGTAAGAGTTATATAATTCGACACGTAGTGGACATAGGAATCGTTTTGTTGTTATTCTTGTTATTTGACACGTTTTTAGAAAATATTCGAATACTGGACCAATTGCTTTGAAATTTTCAGTGGTTGAAGATAAAATTTTTCTCCAGAAGGCTATTGCTTTTATTTATTTCTAAATTTTCTATGAAATCAGATTATTCATTCGTAATTTCGCTGTTTTAAAATTTACTCATGGGAACACTATTTTGAAACTTATTTCAAGCGGTTGCGCGATCAAGCCTGCAGCTACGGCTCCGTTACTGTAAGTTACCGTACCACAGTAAAATTGACTTATTCCTTACGCGATCTTACTATTGCAGTAGTGTAGGTTTTCTAGCAAATTTAGCATTGTGTAAATTTAGCATTGTGTAAATTTAGCATTGTGTAAATTTAGCATTGTGCATTGTGTAAACGAGATGATGATTTAATTAGGCTTTTCATTAGCAAACAGTCAAATCGTGCTCTAAAATTTACTCCAAGACGTCGGATGAATATTATACCTTCTGTGAATCTAAGGAAGGAATTAAGAGCTTAAAAATACGTCAACGGGGAAATATCAAAAATAGTTGGAAACCATTGTTCAAATAGAAATGTTTGTCTGCTTTATGTGGCAGAGTCATGACTTGACTGACTACGCTTGCACAGTTTGCAAAAACAGAGTCTTAGCAACGGAGAGCACTTTATTTTCCTTATTCACCAAATGTGTCTACAAGTATAGATAACAACTTTCACCACATGGATTGCAACTGCTGTATAAAATCACATCTTGAATGCCTAAAGGCTCAAAATACGGAATGTAACACTGAGTTAAAATCGGGGCACTTGCACGAAAAAATTTGTTTCCCTAATTAAAACGCAATTTTGTGATGATAGTCAATGTGTATTTTATGCTTCTTAGAGTTTGTAAACATGGGGACTTAAAAAATAGCGGCGATGTCAACATTTCTTTTACATCTTTGCCGAGTTTTTTTTTTTGAAATACTGTAGTCAAAAATCACTCATGTTCGCTAAACTCGGCTCAGCATATACAGAAACTGCAGCTCGCGAAATTGCATCGTTTGGTAACAATAAAGACAGACATTATGTAACAGAAAGTGAACGACATAGAGAGGGAGATGAATTTATTGGTTTATATACACAGTATTTAAAATAGGAAGCAATAAAACATTTATTGTAGATGCAATATGTCAAATATTTAATCTTATAAAGTTATTTTTTAACACAATTCTGTTAATTTTCGGGCCTCTTTTAGCAAATCGCCGCACTCTTTGGGAACCGCTGCCATAATGATATTTGATGACAAAGTTTTGTGCGAGTTGAATATACTCGTTAAAACGAGTTTTATTTACAGTTTTACTTTTGGGACCCTATTTTGAAACTGCAATAACTATATTGTAGTTTCGATGCATTGTATGAGACAAGCTTTTTGATGGGTGCATAGTTATGGGATAAGTTTGAATGTTTGAATCGGTGGTTTCTCCGTGAACAAAACAACATGCTTGTCAAGTGTGATGACCTGTTCTCAATGTTAGGTAATGTAATTTAAAATTTTACAATCTGTTTAACCATGAATTAAAATCTCAATTTTCCACATCATTAGGAAACACACTTGAAATCAAAAGTGTGGAATAAAATATTTCCAAGTATTGTCAAAGCTGTGCTTTAGCTATTCTGAAAGGGTAAAATTGAATCTCAAAACTTGGACCACTCATCTCGACCAAGTGGGATAAAAAGAAGAGATTTTTTGCTAGTTTGGCCAAACACAAAAATATGTTATCCCGGCACATGTACTCCGTGATATAACCGAATGCAATATAGACTCTAGATTGTCAAAGGTATAATAAAGAAAAAGATTTGCAGATAAAACTTTTTTAAATTTTATGGCCGATTGAAGACTAGTGTCAGTCATGAAAATATGGCAAAATGATTTATGAATTGATATTTATTTATTCAAGCTTTCGCGGGTTGCAAAAAAACTCGCCACGGGCCGCGGTTTGCCCGTTGTATACTAACGTCATTCAATAGTATACATACTCCACACCGGTCACGAGCTTGCTAGAAAATACATATGGTCACACTGTAATTTATTAATATTGGAATCATGTGTGCAAGATAACGCTAATTATCGCTATTGGTTAGATATGTTTACCTGCACATATTACCGAGTGGGTTAAATATTTGACGAGCCTAAATCTACTAAATCTTGCTTAAGTCATGGATTCTGATAATCTGGGGCAAATTTGCATAACGCCTGCCAAATTGTTGCTCAATATACTGATCGATTGAAAACTACCGTCATTCATTGACTACCTTCAGTCATTGCAGTCTGGCGAAATGAATCGTGAATTGATTTTTTATCAATTGCGTTTATTTTTTTTCATTTATTTTCGCAGACGAAAAAAAATCGTTGCCCATTGTCGTACCAATGTCACTCGTATACTTAATTCACACTAACTTGAGCTTGCCGGAATGATCCCTAAAAAATCCACATGTGATCAGAAATTCACGAAGACCAGTATAATCCAATGAGCTACTGAGTCGTGGGTTATATCTCAAACAAGAATCTTTTGGCATAAACATAAAACTAAACTAAAAAATAAACATAATCAGTTTGTTCCTACGCTACAACACTTTGAATCAACTTGAATCGGATACTTTGATCAGAAATAGCGGAAAAGAAATTCAAGCAGAATAAATGGATTGCATCTCAATCATTTTTTGAAACCTATATATCAACAGGCGGTTTCCGGTCAAATTTCCAACTGTTGAGTGTTTTAACTACATCAATTGTTTCAAACTGTCTGTGTACAATGAAATATATATATTTACGTGTATTGAAAATATATATCTCTAAGGGAGGCGTTAAACTTCAGGTTTTCAATAATGTTAATATGTCAACTGAAATGTAGGCATCAGACAATACCCCAGGTCGACAATTGGTGTTTCAAAGTTCTTGAAAGCTGAATTTTGGTGAACAAATAATGAGTTCAATTGCATTCATGTCTAATGTCAATACGACTACAAATTTCGGGTTTGCCAGTTGTGCTGCCGTTACAAATTTCATCAACACGAAACTTGGTGGTTTTGTATCCGCGTCCACAGCACATTATGTTGCAATCGTGCATTCCAATGGTTCTCACATCGCATTCGCGTCCGACTGTTCCCAATATTCCTCTTTCGGCATTCCGTTCACAATAGTTTGGCGATGCTTGCAAGTATATAAGCTCGGAATCGGTTGGTTTTCTCATCAATCTTCTGGCGACTAGTTCACCATTTTTCAACTGTTCAACTTCGATCGCTCTGTCGTATGCCTTTTTCAATTCATCTGCTACAACACGAAAATCGCGAACTTGCTTCCAGCATGTTTTTAAATCACAAGAATCCTTTAAACCATGGCATTCACAAATGGTTTGCGATGTCCTGACAACGGCCTGTTAAAGTAACCAGTATTTAGTTGACTAAAGATTCAATATTATTTTTATGAGTTGCTGAGTAAATGATATATACAAAAGAAACAATATTTGAGTGCGATTCATGCTTCTCCATTTTATTTAGAGACGATACTACTACTTACGCCGTGAAAAATAAAATGAAAATAATTCTACTATTTTGGACTCTATTGTTATAGTTGCATACTGCTGTGTTGAACCCTGCTCTTCGCCTAGGCTGGATGTGACAATAGGTGTAACATTTATCAATATATAAAATGACTGTGGCATATAAACATCGATTCAAATTATTCTTATCTTATTAGCTAATAATAATTGAGTTCTTCAAATAAAATCTTCTGAGAAGTAGTTAATAAAATGAATAACATCTAGTTCTTTTGAGTAATATACAAAACTATATTATATATACTATCAACCTTTTTATCTGGCTAAATCAGTGAATATGCTGTTGTAAGACATCTAGTTGATATCAAAGTAGTTATCCCTCGTAGCTGATGAAAGCCACTGGATTTTATAAAACAACACCTTCCGCCAAACGACATTGTGTTAGTTATTCTATAATCCATATTATGTGAAATGAACATAACTAAGACAGTATGTGAGATCTAAGACAGACTGATACCAACCATTCTTCCGATGTTATTGTTGTGAATGTTCATTATTTGTCTCTTTCTTGATGATTTTTTTCGTTTCTGACTATTTATAAAATCCTGCAGCAACTCGCTGGCATGAGAGGCATAAGGACTATTCTCTCCCCAGTCCTAATAAATACCACATACAAAATATTACGTTTTTATACATATCTGGCGAAATCGCTCCGGGGATTATTGAAGATATTAACATGTATAATGTATTCTGTTTTGATACATATATATAAATATATATATATAAAATAATTATATGTATATAGGCTCCATTCTCGACAAGGTAAGTTGGGTAATTTACGTAGTCACGATAATAATGTTTCATTATTGATGATACAACATTTCAAGAAAAAACTATAAATGTATTGACCAAGTTCATAGTAGAATTATGAATATGAGACAAGTCCCGACATTTTGCACCCGATGTTTCATACTTTTTTCCATTTCTACATTCAAAGCAACTATCTTTAAAACGAATGGTCAAGCATTCTAAAATGACATTGTTTGTTTTAAGTCAGGATTGCAAGTAGAAGATATTAGGTTTTCCGCTTACACGAAGTTAAGAAGAGAAGGCGATACAATTTTTCTGCCTACAGTCACTGCTTGCATTAAAAATATATTAACAAAAAAAAAAACATACCAATACCGCACCCGAATAAACAAGCGGTTTTGGGCATCGACGCTTTGGTAGAAGACCTTGTTGACAAGCTCTTGCGATTGAATGTACAGCTCCAGCAGCTGTTATTGCACGAACAAACGCCATTTCTCTTGTGTCTGGAATAACTGTAGACTTTAAATTGAAGGCAGACATAATTCAAATACAATTTGGTAATCTATAATTTCTGGTCATGTTCAGTTAAATTTATTTATTGGGACTTTTCCCTAGCCATGATTACCTGGAGTCTACCACTCTACCACTTATACAGAATTCGATTTGTAAATATTTGCAATTCAGAGTAAGTTTGTATGACCTTGCGCGTGACGAAGCTGGTCTTGTGAGTGATAATCAAAGATTGTTGAGATTTCTTTAGAATTTTCTCGTAAATGTCCAATTAAATTGTATTTATTAAGATAGCTAAATAGTGTGATTGATTAGGACTATTGGGCACGGTAGTTCGACGCCCTATATATATATGGCGCGACTCGGGCATTAGAAAGTAAATAAAGGCAATAAATTGAGACTGACACTGTGGCATTCCATATCGGTGTGCCCCGTGATATCTTCAGGGGAAGGTAGACTAGTCTGGAAGTTCGACTAGTCAATTATTCCATATTAAATAATTGTTATCAAAGGATTCAGAGTACCGGATGGTATATGGTATGGGAACATATTATTCTAATACCAGAGATTTGGCAATCAGATTAGATTGAAAAATGGAATTAAAATAGTCATAAGGAAGCAAGCAAAAAATAAGAATTTTTTTTTTTTATAAATTAATGAAAAGTTTTATGAACACACCCCAATCTGTTAGTTTTCCAAACCCTGAGCTATCGTTAAAAGTTGGACAATTCCATCTATGATTGCGAAACTGGTATTGGCATTCCGATATTCCCTTTCTGGCCCCTTCACTGACAAAGATCATAAAACTGTCTTTTCGTTTGCACCACTTCTTTTGAAAATTAGTAAATCCGTTCATGCCATCACATATTGAATCGTTATTTTGAAGCGAGTTGTAGGGTCCATCTCGTGCAACAGACCTTATAAGAAAATGTACAAATGTTACAAACGCCTGTTACGCACTAATCACTAATTGCAGAGATACAATGGGACTAATTGCGTATTTTGAAGTCGCAACCTTCGTCTAAAGTGTAATGAAGATCATTCAATCTTAAACAATTGTTACACTGTATTATCCATTAGAAAACATAATATTACTCACCACCATTGGCAATGTCCGCTTTCGCTCAAAATTAAAACAAAAAGAATAGCAGACAGTATAAGCCCACAACCCTCTCGAAGAAATCCCATTTTAGCTCAGTAACTACCTTGCGAATCATAGGCCTGTTGAGAGCACAATAGAGATATTTACTTTAACTGTAGTGATATCCAGCAACAACCTATTTTATCTTCGGAAGCAAATACTACTTAATCTGATTAATAAAAATTCATTTCCAAGACCAGATGGCGGAGCAAACTTAAATGGGCCACTCGAAGGTCATTAAGCGAAGAGATTAGAGTAAATTAGGAGCAATACAAATGTCAAATATACGCTAAGATGCGTGATATTACAAATAAAAAAATCCTCTAAACTTCTCATACGTTGTTATCCAACTAGCTATGCGATAAGAATTTGATTCCATGCCTCAATTGTTATTTAGCAACTGTTTTAACCCAAAGAATGCGTTCTTGCAAAGTGATTAAAAATTACAAAGGTGAAACGCTGTTTAGTTTGAATTAAGCTATTTAAAGCATCGCTCAATATTAGTGAAAAACACCTAATTCGAAAATTTGTGACGCATTCTCTTCAATTACATCCTCAATTAGAAAAGAATATCTCGTGAATATGAGCTGTTCAACAGAAAAACAGTTTTGCCTGAATATCATTTCAATCCTATAGGATTACTATCTTGGTGTAATTTCTAGTGCCTTTTCAAACAGAATTCCAGATCTAAAGTCGACTTTGCACATAATTCGCATTTTGCGAATTTTAATGTTATTGCACTACGAGATGATAAATTTCCTCTCGAAAATTAATTTAATTAAATCCGAAGATGTAGTACGTCAGCAATATGCTTAGTTTAAAATGTTTGCTGTGTACAACAAGGTCCTGATCAGGAATGATAATCCGCTGAAACGCGAATCCCAAAGTGATCTAGACCGACCAAATTTCGCATTTATAAACAAAAAACATACAAATGTTTCAGCGATATAAGACTGATAAGGAAGTGACCTATTATAGTAGTTCTAATCAACCGCTATGCAGCTATTGGCAACAATGTTGTTACAACGTTTATGGCATATCAGTACAATTCCTTTCGCATTTCACGCAACTTTTGTAGGTTGGTACCTCTCCGAGAAGTTTCTCCTGTTCATCACTTAGCAGCTCATCTAATTTCGCATACATTGCCGTTTACCCAATTTAAAATCTAATGGAAATTAAATTTTAGAAAACAACAAATAAAAAGAGCCGGATGGTAGTGATTTCATCACGGTTAGAAGCAGGACAGAAAATATTTCCTCGCCAGTGAAATTGCCTTCCAAACTATACAAACGTTACGGGGGAGGTGTTTCTGCCCACAATTCTTACGCGAGTTACGTCCACTCTAATATGCTTTGTTTGTTCAGAGGTAGCAAATACTAATGATAAGGTGAAGGTCGGGGACGAGCACAGCCAATGTGAAACAAATACCACCACAAAAATACTATTCTTATTCTCAGTAGTTTTTTTTTATAGAGTCAAAAATACAGCACGAGAGAATTAAGCAGAAAAAAATGCAGTAATCCGTACACACACAGCTGGACACTCTTTGATTTTCCTTTAAAAGTCGAAAACAATTTATTCTAAAAGATGAATTAGGCTTATTCAGCTTTGTCAACAGTAAAATATAACAATAAAAATGCACATAGCCATCAAAAGCAATTAGTCTCAAAATCCCTGAAAATAAATAGCGACAACGAGCATCCAGAAAATAGTATACAGGTCTATTTGATTCACAAAAATATGAATCCCCGATAAAACGAGTATAACAGCATAGAGTATAACAAAAACGATAGTAAATGGGAAGATGTCAAAAAGAAATAACTGATCGTATTGTACGGCTGTAAACTGTAAGAGTTATATAATTCGACACGTAGTGCACATAGGAATCGTTTTGTTGTTATTCTTGTTATTTGACACGTTTTTAGAAAATATTCGAATACTGGACCAATTGCTTTGAAATTTTCAGTGGTTGAAGATAAAATTTTTATCCAGAAGGCTATTGCTTTTATTTATTTCTAAATTTTCTATGAAATCAGATTATTCATTCGTAATTTCGCTGTTTTAAAATTTACTCATGGGAACACTATTTTGAAACTTATTTCAAGCGGTTGCGCGATCAAGCCTGCAGCTACGGCTCCGTTACTGTAAGTTACCGTACCACAGTAAAATTGACTTATTCCTTACGCGATCTTACTATTGCAGTAGTGTAGGTTTTCTAGCAAATTTAGCCTACCGTATTTGTTAATTTTGATAAGAGCAAATTGAATTGAGTTTAATATGCCAGAAAAGGCCTACAGCAACAGGTACCGGTACTGGTAAGGCTTTGACCACTTCCCAGAGAACTGGCGAGCCGATCCGGACGAAATTTGGTGTGAACCCTGAAAGTGTTACAAAAACAGCCTTTTAGTGGCCCGGAACTGTCAATCAAGCCATCCTTCAAGTCACGCTGGAGTGATTTTGGCGTTTAGAGGCCGTTCAATTACGTCTGGGGTCGGAATAGCGTTTGCCCGAGTATTGGGAATTTTTTAAGTAGCATTGAGTTGGAGGCTGTGTTTCCGTCCCCTCAGATGTGTGAAACGTGTGCAAAACCACGCCCACTTTTTACCTAAACCTAGGAAGTCGCTTTTCTCTTTCATTACTGGATCAATTGATTAAAGATAAAATTTTTCTTTAGACGATTATTACTTTCATTTACTTCAAACGTGTCCATATATTTGAGCATAGCTCCCTTGTTATATTTGCAGTTGCTTCCGAAACAGGATTATTTATAAAAAGTAAACAAATTAATTTCATAACAAATTAATTTGAAGTCACTGTTTATAGTCTGAATTCACTGATAATGTTCTCGAGTTAGACGTGTTGATAGTCTAACCAAGAGTCTCAGAACCAGGGTAGACGTTGATAATCCAACCAAGAGTCCCTGGTTCTTGTTGTTAGATTGTTGAAATTAGAAGCTCAAATGTTCCTCGAGTTTGATTTCAGTTGAGATCATAAATAAATGGCGTAGCGAGAACAGTATTTAGATCGTGGTAGACACTTCGATGCATCGTAAAAAAATTGACCTATAAAAAGAATACAATATTACAATGATTACCAGGGGATAAGTTACCTAATAATATACAAGATCAAATATTAAGTGCCCAAGACCAAGCATGTGAAAATATTTTAGACATAATACATTTATTACTGCTCTGCGTTGGAATTAGACAAACATAAGGTAATTCATCATAATTTTTTTACCTGTTCTTTTTTTTTCAATCGTTAATCAGTAGATTTGATGTTAAGTAATTCCTTTTTCATCACAATGATTGAAGAAGAGACTGAAGAAATGAGTGGCGACGACATGGATGATGGAAATGTAATTAAGAGTATTATGTTTAAGGGAATAGCGGTAGAGTTCATATTATTGGTTTCAAATTTGTATCTTGCGGTGGCATTCGGATTGCACGGAAAAAAGGATGACAAATAAAAAATATAAAAGAAAAGGGAAATATGAGCAATAAACCAAAACTGGTGATTCTTGGGAGTGCAAACTGTCTATGGAAATCACAGTTGCTTAATGTGGTTTAATACTAAGATGAACAGAAGAGAGTAGCCACATCGAGTATTTCTAAAGGTAATCTAATCTAAAGTAAGTTCATTTTGACGTGTTATTCAAATTTAAGAGGTGGGAGTTGTTTGCAAGCAGAAAACTAATTGAATCCTTTTGGCTACCCTTTTAAATTTAATTCGAATCAATTTCCCAAACTTGTTTTCCTTTGTATAGGTTTGCACTATGGAGAAATGGTTATCGATATTATTTGGCAAAAGACTTCACCATGTTATCGTAATATAAAGTATTCATCAAACGACACACTACTGATATGAAACACACTGATAAGCAAGTATTTAATGCTTCTTAAACAACTTAATTAACTTTTGGAGTGAATCCTAAAAGGTATTCAAATAGAGATCCTATAAATACAATATATATATCGATTCGCGGACTTTAGTAACTGCACAAACAAATGCAAATGCTTTTGGTGCAGAAAACGGAATATTGCTTATTCAATTTCTACAGGAATAAGGGAAGCGTTGTGAAACGGTTAATACAATTCAATATTGCTGATTTTTAGTTGTATCCAGGTGATGTATGATCTTAGGCAGTGTCAATGAAACAAGAGGCTTAAATTGCTAATACAGCATATGGTCCAAAAATCTTGCATTCGAGTTGACTTTTATTGTTCTAACAGCGCTTATAAATGAAGTAATACGCAAAAACTGAGTTTGAATATGAGTGACGTTATATGAATAAATAGACGCACTTCTTGATGGCCTTAAAATTAGGGTATTGGAATCGTTCCTATCTAATATATATGTCAATCTCATCATCAGATAAGGAAATGATGACGGCAACCCAATCAGGTTGCAGTATACAATAAATACAATAAAGTGGTTCATTAAGTCGATACCAAAGTCACGCGAGTATGGGAGATTGAATACCGGTTGACAATGTCAAAAATAAATTGCTCTTAAAACCCTATTCAGGCTGATTTTCTGAATTCATTGTGCACGGGTGATTTTTGAAAACAAAAAAAAAATCGTTTACCATTTGATACTTAAGCTTCAATCATGACTTCTTAGAATTGTATTCTTGAGTTCTATTCGGCTAGAATACTCTTAAGATCACTTTCCCAATATTATTTCCATATGCGACCTGACGCCGAAAATTATTTTTTTTAAATTTGTTGTCGACTCTAAAAGATGTTATAGATCTCGACATCCTGTCTCCCAATTCATTTATACGCCAATATAAAGACATTTCAGCCATAAATTTATATTTCAACTGTATTGAAGAAGACAGTTTTTATTCTGGCGTGACCCAAAACCACTATTATATAAATTATCTTTCACACCAGAAAGTCGAAAAAAAAATTTAAAAGTTGCAAAAGTCATGAACATGTTTAATCTATATTATATACCATTATGCAGAATCACACACGTATGTTATTGTTCTTTAATTCAAAAGATACTTTTTCATTTAAAATGCCAAACCTTCAAACATTTATTGGATTTTATAGATATTTATCACCAACAACTTGACCAGTATATCACCCTTGTGACAATGACGATCTCAGAAAGATGTTGACGATAACATTGATACTATGTTCTGCTCAAATATATACATTCAATCTTTCGGTGTTGGGCTCTTTTGTGTATTGATATTGCATGCGATCGGTCAATTAATATATATCGAGAAAATGAAATCATTTTAAAACAAATATAGGTAAACGGAAAAGAACAAGATTTGTTGTAGTTGTATTTGTAACGGAAAAAATGATATTGGGTAGTACAATTTCTTACATTTTGGTATATATACTTGATGGAGTTGATTATTTACATAGATGTCGCTGTTCCATGCGCACACATCTGAAGCATTTATTTTGAGTGTCACAATTACACAATTCGACAACTTCAAACATTTTTGATTCGTAGCCATAACCGCAGCACAAATATTCACAACTTCCGTACCCCGACCCTGTAGCATTGCATTCACGAGAACGAGTTCCGTAAAAGTTGTTTCTCGGTACACGGTAGCAAAAATCTGGAGGACTATTGAAATATACAAGCTCGGTGTTAGATTTGAGATCAGTTTTGAGTTTGGTATTCAGATTCCCAGATGCAATTTCATCTCGCGGGATCCAAAATTGACTTGCATTAAAATATGCTTCTCTCAATACATTGCCAATTACTCGAAAATCTTCAACTTCTTCCCAGCAGAACGTTTTGTTGCATTTTTCTATCTTGCCCGGTACATCGATACATTTGCACTTTTTCGTGGACGAATTTACAACAGTCTGTCAACAACAGACAGATAAATAGGATATGCTAATTAAACTGAAAAAAGCATAACAACTGTTTTTCTAGATTTTGTAATAAAATATTCATGTACAGTACTATAGATTTTGAATTTCCATTACTAGAAATGACAGCAAATCAGAATAAAAACTAAAATATACATTTTTACATCACATACCATCCTCCCAACTTTGTTATTATGATCGTCCATTACTAGTCGGCGATCCAGTCCTCGTCTGTGTCTTTTATTGTTAAGAAAATATTTCACTAACTCACTTGCGAATTTGCTGTACAGACCATCCTTAATGGAAATCAAGAATAAATTGTTTTATTATTATTTTAAATTGATATTTATATGTACCTAGTTATATCAAATTGTTTCCCACATAAACCCGTTTGTAAATTAACATTAATCCATATTATTATGGATTATTTTTTATTTTTTATGGAAATTAACCCAAAAAAGCAAAACGTCGGATGACATCATTTTTCCACGTACACGCCTTTTTTAATTAAATACTGATCCAAGACTAAATTTTTGTAAATAAAGAACATCGTTAGAGGAATGACTCGAATTTGTATGGAATATTTCTAGGAATTTCTTTTAATAGAAACTAATGAAATTTATATTTAGGAAATAAAAAGAGTTTAGTAGAGCAGTCCAGTAAGTACTGTTGATTGCTTGAAAGCAAGTTTTGCGTAAGTAAGAGTGCGCTGCTCAAATATATGGACACGGCCACTAACGCGGAACCGCCACAAAATGCGCAGTTTTTAATTTTGATGACGCCATCGCACACTAAACGAACGAATACCGATAGATAATTTCATAAACTAAATCCAAATAAACTTACATCGGGACAAGATTCGGGTGGAAGACTATTAGTTGCACAAGCTTGAGATATGGCATGTACTACGCCAGCAGCAGTTATAGCATGTGCAAATGCGCTCTCTCGAGATCCTGAAATGCAAATCATTTTGAATAGGAAATATAAGAACAAAAATATGAAATTGAAATGTTTATTATATTTAAATTTGATTCTAATTAGGTTTCCATTCGTTTTTTTTTATTGAATGTAACAGACTGCCTGAAAACGGTAATCACGGCACGCAACTCCTAATTCTGATGACGTCATAAATAAAAGTAATACCTTCTTAGCGACACAACAATCTTCAACCACTGAAAAGTTTCAAAGCAATTGGTTCAGTAGTTGAAGAAAAATGCAAAGATTCCGAGAACCATTGAAATATACAAGTTTAGGGGTTTATTGAGCAGAAAACGACATAATACCAAAACGACCAATAAGAGTCCATTTAGTGTCCAATAATAATTACAAAAGTGGTAGTTATTATCTTGAAGTGAACCGCCACATAAAACTAAATAAATATTCATATATTTCACTAGATAATCACCGCTATATTTTAAAAATTTCCCGTAAAATATCCATTTCTTTTCTTCTGTTGAGCAATTCCATCGATCACCGCGAAACTGATATTTACATTCCGAGATTCCTTGTCTCGCTCCCTCGATTACAAACTTTATAAATGCTTTATTCTTCTTACACCATCTCTTTTGGTATTGTGTGAATCCTTCTACTTTTTGACAAATAGATCTATTTCTCTGTACCATATTACGAATGGAATCCTGTGCGACCGACCTGAAAGTTATTTTATAAAAAAAAACGTTTGTAAAGTAAGTTCTACTCACTATGTTCATAGATATATAGAATTTATCTTGCCGTTTGAATTATTTTATCTCAAGTAAGAAATATCAATCAACCCCACAGACCAGGTGTGGGCACGTTTTTGGGGGCCAGGGGCCAAAAATTTTGCCAATCTGAACTGGCGGGATGTAAACAGTTACATTTTATAAACAGAATTTTGTTTACAGTATTACAAAAGAAAAAATTGAAAACAATAAGCCTCGTTCTGAAGCTAATTTTAATTGCAATCTCAACCAATTCCTTGGGCTAACTTTTGGCATGAAAATTCGGTTACAGTTTGGTTGTGGCAGCATCAGGCGGGCCACATTGAATTACCCAACAGGCCGGATTTGACCCGCGTGCCGTAGTTTGGCCATGTCAGCTATAGACTGAAAATGAACTTTTTGTTAACTTTTGTGGTACGAAATAATATTTTCTCATAGTTATGCAGGTGAATTTGGCATCAAATTTAGATGAATAGTCATCATATCTTTACATTATCGTATAAACTTTTTTCTCGAGCAGTAAGGTTGGAAGGCGAAGGTTTTTGTTTTGCCTCACCAATAGACCATAACAACTAATTACGTACAACGCAACAAGTTTAGTGCAATAGTTATTAAATTTATAGAAAGAAAAATCTTACCACCAACGGTCATGTACGTTTCTGCTCAAAACCATTGTGGATAGAAGTACAGGAATGAGAACAACACAAGCTGAATAGAAACTCGGCATTGTGCTCACATGAACAAATTTACTACCTTATTCAAATGGTAAATAGGAGGTAAATAATAAAGCTTATTTCGCTTCTAATTGCTTTAAGCATAAAACAATTGTGCGTTCTAAAAAAAACAAAAAATTTAATATATACAGGTTTACATTTATCTAAACTGTTATTAATCGCGACAGAGTAAACCGGAGTAAATTTAACCGACCATAAAACTGACATGAGAACCGAGCACTATCAGTCGTGACAGCGGCAACACAAGCGATTGTAAGAGCCTAAAACGACCTTGTTTCTAAAATAAAAATTAAGTAGTTGAATTAATATAAAACTTATCCCAAAGCAGGATCTACTTTATAAAAATTATTATTCTAGTCTACATACAACCTATTTTTCTACAGCAATACCGCAATCCCGCTTTTTTTATTTTTTTATTTTATCATGTGTTCGACACCTGTGTCGCAATGTGGAATTGCGGTCTGTGTCGGACGAGTTTGCTAAGAATGATTTTATATTTGTCCCCAAAATGGCTGCCTAGTCATATTCTTGACAATTACACCAAAGCGTAAATATAAATTAAAGGCAAATAATAAAACCTTGTTTTAAATGTTCAATGTACAACACCTATTTACAAAATTGCCCAATTCGGCCTACAATTATATCCGCATTCCAATGTTGGCATTATTCAAGAGCTTAAATCAATTTGGAACGGAAATATTCAAATAATTAATCCGTATAATATATTCAAAAAAAAATCATGCGGTGAATGAAGATTTAAAACACTTTTCCAAATTCCGAAATAGTTGCCAACAAATGCCTGCATTACTTCTAAAGCAAAAGACGAAAGTCATGTGGGAGTCGTGGGACTGCCAACAATTTTTATGAATTTTCAATCAAACCACGAACGCCAAAAGAGTTTACTCGTGTCTGCAATTATAGTTTGTCTTTTTTTGTCTCGAAAAATAAAAATGTAGGATTTAAAACAAATTTAATTTGGTTGTATTACTGCTGAACTTGATTCTTAAACTTTACTGTACTCTCGCAAGTTGGGTTAATACCAGTCAGTAAATTTTTCCCAGATTAGCCTACCGTTTGATTTTCACACTGATAATTTGTTGTTTCATTTTTGTACTCAAAGTTACATATGGATCGTTTTGTTATTATTATATTGTTGTTGTTAATCTTGTTTTTTTAAATAATTCCATTGAGAAAATCAATGGCTATTACATGTCAACAACTACCGGTTGAAATCTCCGTGTTTTTATGTTTTATATATTTGAAAAGGGCAAAATGTTAATACAAGATTGTTTCTCGGTAAACACAGGTATTCAGGAAGCAATATAGCTGCAATCAGAAAAATCCTAAGCTATGAAAGAAAGCTATACGTTTGGCCGTTGTTTACGACTCCGTTGAATACAAGCTTGAATTGGAAATGAACGAATGTACGTTATACAGTACTCATGTTTTATTTTTATTTTACTAATAGATAAACGCCGTGGTAGTTTTCACAGTCCCCTGGAGTATTTGAGTTATTATTTCTTTTTGCTTCAGCAATTCAATAAAATAACGTTCGAGTTTGCCGATGACAGACCTGAAATTAATTAAACTGAGTGCTATATTTGTTTAGTTCTGATCGAAGTCAATGCTGTGGAAAAGTTTTCTTTTAGTATATCATCAAAGTACAAATTGTCTGTGCATCACTGAGTCGTCAGCGCATCATTGCATTTTCAAGCAAAGTAACATAACTTATAAAAATGGAAATATTATAGTATACATTCTCTTATATGTTTCCAACATAATTGTTTTAAATTTCTTGTTTGGGGGAGTATGATTTAGGACAGACGAAGCAATACGAAAGAAAACTTGGGAAATTGAAATGAACTATTTAATATAGACGTTTTCACTCTTGCCATATTCACTGCATATGGATCAACTAACGCTAAGACAGAAGGAAAGGAACACTAGTTAAACACGTGTTACTTTAAATAGCCATAAAATAATAAAGCCTTGAAAATCTGGATAATTGGGTTATTTTAGAATGTGACCTTTTTACCGTCATCTTTACTTTTCAGGTCAGAATTAAATTGTTTTTATTTTTTGTAGAATAACAACGCAAAGTCAATTTGGTTTAACAAAAGAAACGGAATCTTGTTACAGTTTCCAAATTTATATTAGAAATAAAACGCGACAGAAAAATTTTGCAAACAAAACTTTGCCGTTGAAAATTCCCTTGTTTCTCTGACTCGGCACCATTATTTCCAACAATGGCGAAAATTATATAATATTTGCAGAAGAAAATTATAAAATGATACAGGAAGCAATATCGCCAATACTTGGAAAAATGAAAGTAAAAAAGATATACCTATTTTGCATCACTATGTTTGGGAAATATATAATTGACGTGATAACTTTTAGATCGACTTCCTAACATATAATATTTTTTTTTGAGTGAACCTGGAACGAGTATGCAAAAAAGCTCAGCAGAAAAATAAACTCTTTGCGGAAATAATCAAAGTCGAGTTACGTGATTGCTGCAAAAATATGATTGTGGCATATTTCCATATCACATACACATTACTAGATATATTCGTTAAACACCAGATATTAATGTAGTTACAGTAGATAATCAAGAGAGCTATGCTCAAATATATGGACACTTAGCGCCACCCAATGGCAATAATTTTGATGATGTCATAGCGAAAAAAAAGTAATAGCCTTCTGGAGAAAATTTTTATCTTTGATCACTGAATATTTCAAAGCAATTGGTCCAGTATTCGAAGAAAAAGGCGATTTTTTAAAAATGATGGAGGCAAATAACAATAACAAAATTTTGAAACGATCGTTATGTCCACTAAACGTGTCCAATAACATCATTCAAATATTAGCAACATTAATAACAACACTCAGGAGAATTTATACATTATGAGCAGGTTTTTCTAAAGATAGGGGGTGATGAAAGTAGAAGGGAAGGTATAGGAAAATCGCAGTATCTTGATGATCAACATGAGTGATCGGTATACAAGAATTGAAAATGGAACGAACATAATACTATAGCAAATACAAAGCACAATTCCTCCTCAAGAACGACAAAATTTCTCCCTGGGGAGGTATTCCTCCACGGTTGGGAAACGTGGGCTTAACGCATGCCGTACCCTGCTATGTGATGGGTCGTATAACATACCTAATAATAACAAAGAATAGAGCGTTTTTTTTTTTTCGTTTTTTCAAATTTTGGATAGTGAGTCTTATTATTGAGAATGCAACTCTAATTTGAAGTGAGTATAATTCTTTTTAAATTCCGTGTGATTGGAAATAAACTCCCTACGACTCACGACAATAATTTTTAATGTCGTTTTGTTGGATTTCCAAATTTTCAATCACACATTGCTTTGTACAGGTCTGTGGCTCAAAATTCTGTTTACGATATGCTGAAAAGCGATGTTCCAATATGTCATCAAATGGATGAATTTACCAACTATCAAAGAAAATGGTGCGAAAAAAGAATTTTCGAATTACACTGGAAATTTGGTAAGATATTTAAAGATGATATAACAAATTGTTATCAAATATTAAAACTGCAAACCTTTTGAAAGCGGATCATATCAATTGTGATCGATTATGATTATTACGTTAAAAATAAAAATACTTCCATAGCATTTAATTTCGAATGTTGGGTGCAATCGATTGCTACACCCTAATGTCGCATATTCGGTAAAACAAGGTTCTCGGATTGATTATTGAAAAGTTCCCTTCAGAATGAATATTATAGGTGTTCTGAAATCATATTTAATTTTTGTTAAAATTTACATTTCATTCCACCTAATAGTAAATGTACCTCCAAAGTTTAAGAGGGTTTGTGTTTATCTTCACAAGTCTAATTGCACCTAATGTACTTTGGAAATTATATAAGCTTATTATTAATTTTATTTTTTGTAGACTACATACGCTTCATATAGCGGATTTGTGAGTAATTTGGTGAAATATTTTCTTGATGGAAAAAGAAAGATGCGAGAACTTGACCCAAAGCAATTGATGTTTGCTCATAACAATAAAGTAGGAAGACTGGTGAGACACTCCCTACTCTTTTTATTCAATAGGATTTTGAAAATTAAAAGTTTCGAACGAATTTTAAACAAAACTCGATCTTCTGAAATGTTTTTCGTATAAATACTGAATTATTTAATTTTTATCAAATTTTAACAAGATAATTTTTCATTGTTTGAACTTATTAAATATGAATGTGATGAACAAAACTTTCTGTACAGACGGTGGTGAAGACGTCAAAACGAATGTTCAGGTATTATGGCAAATGCAATGGCTTAAAATCTTGTTGGATGCAAAATGAAGATTTTCTCGTGGTTGCTGATGAATTACGACAGGCCTACGATGAAGCGATTCAAATTTGAGTGTCGTGTCGTGAAATTCTGCAAGGGGAGCTAGAAAGATCACTTGATGATTCCCAACTTGTGTATCTCTCAGCATTTCCTGATCAGTGTAATGAAAATCTAGAAGCTGGCATTGTCGGGACACGTTCTAGAATCTAGAGAATGCAACGTAACCGGAACTGGACCAGGAAGTTGTGAGCATCTATGTTGCGGTCGCGGTTACAGAACAAAGTTGATCAAAGTGAGACAAAGCAGGTGGGATTGTGTGTCAATTATCGACGGTGATTGCAAGTGTGATAGATTGGTTTCTAAATACATCTGCAAATAATTAAATCAGAGCCGCATATAGATTGAACCCGCGGATATACGCATGGGTTCAAATGTACGTGGGTTCAAATGTATGGTCACCATTCACCAATATAACAGTTCAATGCCTTTGCGTTCTTCTACTGTAACGATGAGTCATTATTTCAATTCGTGTTGGAACGAGGTCGTCACGCAGGGAGTTAGTTGGTCGCGTGATAAAAATTTATCTAAAGTTATCTTATCTACGGTGACAGCACTTCTGACCCTACGCCAAACGCCGAATTTTTCAGCGATGATGATTTTTCTGTTGCGCAAAATATTCAGTTCATGGACGATACGAGTATAAAAAGTTGTCTCGCCATATTCAATAATTTTCAACGTGAATCGCCGTTGCGCCGAGTTACAATAAATGAAAGTATTACT